ACTGTAAACACGATAACGCCCGAAGGTATCCCACCCACAAGTTGCGGAATAAACATTATTATCCACGCGTATGCCCTTTGGTCTTCGAAATGCAGCCCAAACGTTTCAACGTTTCATGGACAAGGCTTTACGTGGCTTACCGTTTGTTTATGCATACCTTGACGATGTTTTAGTCGCTAGCACCTCCTCAACTGAAAATGCAGCTCATCTCAGAGCAGTGTTTGAACGTTTTTCCACTTACAACATACGTTTGAACATTGACAAATGCTTATTCGGTGTTACTAGCCTGGATTTTCTTGGCCATCACATTGACGCCACAGGTATTTCACCATTACCCGATCGCATTTTGGCCCTAGAGTCATTTCCCATACCCGCGACTCTCACCAAACTTCGTCGTTCAACTACTACCGGCGGTCCATCCCTCACTGTGCAGCTATTTTGAAGCCACTGACCAACTTACCTGGCTCCAAAGAAAAATATGTCACTTTGTTCCCCGCCGCCATTACCGCTTTCGAAAGAGCCAAGCACGCCATTGCTCAGGCCACAAAGTTATCTTTCCTCGATACTCACGAAAGCACAAAGCTGATTTTGAAAACTGATGCTTCGAACGCTGTCGTACTTCATCAAGTTGTTAACAACACATCTCAACTACTAGCGTTTTTCCCGCAGAAGATGCAGGCTGCCCAAACGCGTTACAGTACTTTTGGTCGTGAATTACTTGCGATTTGCCTTGCTATTCGCAATTTCCGGTACTTGTTAAAGGGTAGATATTTTACCATTCAAACCGACCATAAGCCACTCACCTATGCCTTCAACGCCAAACCTGATCGATGTTCACCACGCGAGATAAGCCATCTCGACTATATTTCGCAGTTCACTACGGATATTCGGTACACTCCAGGTTCGGACAATGTCGTCACAGATGCTCTATCCCGTCCTGACATCAACGCTCTTCACCCTTCCACGCAGCTGGACCTAGCCAAGCCGGCTAACCTTCAAAACAGTAGTCCTAATTTTTTGCCGATTCTATCTTTCCCTTCACTTCAAGTCTCTTCAATTCCCTTACCCCCAATCGTCCCCGAAGCCTTTCGACGGGCTGTTTCCGACCATTTTCATGGATTTTCTCATCCGGGAATCAGGGCAACCAGGAAGTTGATTAGTGCACGCTTTGCATGGCCCTTCATGAATAAGGACCTGACATCCTGGGCCAAACAGTGCATCGCCCGTCAACGCAGTAAAGTAACTCGGCATACAAACTCACCTATCGGTTCATTTGCCGTTCCTAATGCTCAATTCACACACGTCCATCTCGACATTGTTGGCTCGCTTTCCCCATCAAACGGTTTCACTCATATCCTTACCATGATTGATCGTTTTACCCGTTGGCCGGTAGCTGTACCCATTTCGGATACTTCAGCTGAAACGGTTGCTTTTTCATTTTTGCAGCACTGGGTGAGTAATTTTGGTATACCTTCCACCGTT